ATTTGTTGTTTATTTGTCGTTTCTGGAGACCCACTCAAATGTCTCAAAAATTAAACAGATAGCTAGTGATTATTATAGTCAGAAAATTGTAGCTAACTAACTGAGTATCAAACATAAGAAATGTGTTTCTTAATATTTTGACTAGTAACAGTGGCCTCTCAAACCTTAGGGGCCCCTCGCAGATGCATGCCAGACCTCTACCTCTTCTGCTTAGGTCGTGAAAACAAACCACTAGCCACCTTTCTCAGTCTGCTAAACGTGCTAATGGTTAGTGGCTCCATCTGGTCTTCCCAACACTGTCCTCCCCAGAGTGCTGACTGCTCGCTTTTAAAGCAGGGGTCTCCAACTCCGGTCCTGGAGAGCTACCGTCCAGTAGGTTTTCTATCCTACTTGGCTTCTGATGAGCCACACCTGTTCTCAGGTAAATACCAGGAACAGGTGTGGCTCATCAGAAGCCAAGTAGGATAGAAAATCTACTGGATAGTAGCTCTCCAGGACCGGAGTTGGAGACCCCTGCTTTCAAGGGATCCTCAACGCTCCAAAGGCTGTACTATTGAATTAAGCATAAATACTGTACATTGTGCCCACTGCTCCCCCTCCCCCCAAAAAAGGTAGGTTGCAAGTGAGAATTACTGTCAGTACTACTGAATGCCGCGAATAATTCCCCAAAATACATTTCCATAACAAAAAATGGCAAACAGGGGTAGAATCACAATCACATTTTTTCATTGAACTTTCAGATAAATAAATACTCTGTTGGCATGCAAAACCAATAAATCTTGTGAATAAGGCGATAAAAGAGGGAGTCGATGGCAGATCCGAGGAAAGGGGGCTTACACACGCATCGCTTATCTTCCAGGAGCACACGCTCCCCCCGGCAGCTGCAGTTCACTATGCCATGGGGGGTCAGCAGGCAGAGATCATGACAGCCCCCATTCATCACCCGGCAGGGGGACGATTCACCTGCAGAAGGGGGAGTAGGAAACAGCAGCGTTAGCCTCCTGGCTAATGATGACCCTTCCCATGTTCCCCAGCAATGGTCTGGCTTGTAAAGACCATTACCAGCATGGGGTTTTGGGTCAGGCTGTAGCCTTGACCCTGTTGGCAATCCCCCAAAAGGGGTCATAGACCCCACGGTGATCACATGTGCATGGGGATAGAAATCACACATAGGCACACACACATTTGTGAATATATCTTTATGGGGACTCTCCATTAATTTCTATGGGAAAAACCCAAGTCGCAGCTATGATAACCTTAAGCCCTACCCAGTAGTGATGCGCGGGTCGGGTATTTTTCCAACCCGTGGGTCCCGCTTTTATGAAATTATTTGGCCCGCCCCAACCCGCCCCGCAAATAAAGTGACAATTTCTTTACCCGCCCCAACCCGACCAGCGGGTTACGAGACGACCCGCGCATCACTACTGCTGTTGTCTCCTGCTGCAACTATTTCTGAGAACCGGTCCCAAACATTAGGTTTAGCAGCCTGACCTTTTTTTCTTTTAATGATGTAAATTCCCGACCTCAATTTCTCCCGCACCTCGTCTCCCATCTTCACTTTTATTTCTTTGTTTTTGATGTGACTGGCAGCGGTAGCTGCTTGGCGCTTTCGTGACTTGTCACGTGACGTAACCTTATCAAAGAACTTAATAAAATATGAAAATAGATATTCCCAAATATTTAATATAGGCTATAGGGAATTGCACGCAACATACATGGATTTTTTATTTAATTTTGTTGTGACAATTTCTTTACCCGTCCCAACCCGACCCGCGGGTTACCCACGGGGTCCGCGGGTTACGAGACGACCCGCGCATCACTAATCTTAAGTTTCTCAACAGTCATACTCATCCGTT